CAAAAACCACTCCAAAAATAAACAAAAATTTAAACTTTCTTTTTTAAAAATACATATTATGCTGAGGTCAGCCAGCTATAGTTAAGGTAATCAATTTTCACCAAACATATATCTAATGACCCAAAGACTTGGTATCATTATCTCCAATCTTGTAAATTTGAGCATCCAAATTGTTCCACCTTTAACTGAGTTTATCCTGAAAGTGTTAACCTGTAAATTAGCTAAGCCTTCCTTAATGATACCTTTGGTCTATAAAGTATTTTTTAAAGAATCAATTTTACTTCTCTTTGGAAAGCAAATACCGTGTCAGACCTGGGTAATTGTTTACATAACAAGGTCAAGGTAACAGAAACTTATTTAGGATCCCCTTCTACAGAGAAGGCTCAGATAAAGGAGGGGCTTGCTTTCATGATACTTTCTGGTTAAGGGTGTTGACTCTGACTGCCCTGGCAAGGGCAAAGGGCAGTTCACTCACGGTTTTATCTGGTGGGGAAGGGAAATTATTTGATGAAAGCATTTCATATAGTTTTCTATTAAAAAATGAGGAAATGTACATTCTTTAATCTCTAGACAGGATGATATTAATTTCTAATTATTTGTGTTCTTAAATATAGTGAGATATCAATGAACAAATGTGAGATTGTTCTTTTATGTTGCCTGTGTTTTTTAATTTGTTTTGTTGCCTAATCTGAAGTTGCCTTTCTAATTGACCCTCTATGAGAATACCCTGATTCAAACTTAGCATTGATCCCTTCCCAGTTGAGAGTAAACAAAGTTGATGCTAAGCAGCCATTCATTCATTTCTTCTGCTGTCTTTTCCTCGCTGACACTGAACAGCCATTAATCATTACCTCTGCAAGATCAGTTTCTCCATGGCCCTTCTTCATTCTCACAACCCACTTGGACCTTCTTTGCCAATCCAGCATTTAGGCCCTTCCAGTTCCCTCCATCCATCTTCCATTGGCATCTGCAAGGAGCTGTTGTCAGTCATTTCCCATTGCTTTTGTAAACTACTTGTCTCTGTATTAATTTATTTAACTGCATGAATTCATCTTTTTTTTTTTCATTTTTCTTACTTTATCTTAAATTGTTAGTTTTTAAGAATCAAGGCATTAGCAAGTAAGTGAAGAAATTATTTCAGGGAAGATAATCTTCCTAAATCTCAATCATCAGCCTCTCCTTCCCTGAGTCACCTGATGCTTGAGAATAGTGATGAATGGGCTCAGGCTCAGTTACTGCAGGAATATTCTTTGGAGTCTGCTTGCCTTAGGATGAAATATTTTAGGGTCTGGAGTCTCACAAACCTCACTCCAGCCTCACCCACCGGCCCCCACTCCTGCTTCACTTACCCTGATCTCTTCTTCCAGGGCAGAGTGGATTAGCAAGGAGAATGGGGGAGTTCCTATCTGTTTTTAACTAAAGATGTTTCTTTGGTGCATTCATTGTTTTCTAACATTCTGGATGTTGTTTCAATTAGTGCTCCCTGCCTTCTTATAATTTTTGTACCTGTAATGAACTATTTATCAATAAAAATATCATTGCAATGATAAGAATGCATTTTCTTTACCAGCAAAATTGTTTCAATAGACTTTTTGTCACATTGTGCATGGAATGGTACAAAACATACCGCCTTGATTTCTCATCTTTCTCAAAGAGATATGTGCTTCCTAGAAGCTTGGTGAGTGTGCTGCTGGACTGAGCCGTCCCCTTTCACCACTGGATGACAGCTTGATCACCGAATATGTCAGTTGGGTGCCGTTTCTCATACTTCTGAGTAGTACTCTAACATGATTTGTAAAAACATCATTTGGTTCTCACTGTAGCCATGTACCTTTGATTTTGCTTTTGGCACATTCCTACAGAAGATTGAGGCTGACAATAACATCTAACATGTGAATTATATGTAGAATCTGTACCAAAATACAGGTATCTCCCCCCCCCAAAAAAATATAATACACTTTAACAGCTGATAGCTCAATTTTGAAAATGAAATGTATTTTATTTTTTTATTTATTTTTAAATATATTTTATTGATTTTGTACAGAGAGGAAGGGAGAGAGATAGAGAGTTAGAAACATCGTTGAGAGAGAGTCATTGATCAGCTGCCTCTTGTACACCCCCCACTGGGGATATGCCCTTGACCGGAATCGAACCTGGGACCTTTCAGTTCCCAAGCCGACGCTCTATCCATTGAGCCAAACGGTTTCGGCAGTGAAATGTATTTTAATAAACACTGCCTTGCCCTAGCTGGTTTGGCTCAGTGGATAGAGCATTAGCCTGTGGACTGAAGGGTCCCAGGTTCGATTCCAGTCAAGGGCACATGCCTGGGTTGCAGGCTTGATCCCCTGTCGGGGTGTGCAGGAGGCAGCCAATCAATGATTCTCTCTCATCGTTGATGTTTCTATCTCTCTCTTCTTCTCCTTTCCTCTTTGAAATCAATAAAAAATATATTTAAAAAAATAAAATCAATATAATTATTCAAAATGTGTGTGTAAATTTTGGGGGTACACTCTATAGACACACTGCCCAGGGATTTCTCAGGTTCTTCCATCAAAGAGAATGGTGAGAAAACACTCAATTTTTCTAGACTGTCTCACAATGGCCCTTTAAGATGAAACATCTTTATGGGCAGACAAGGAAGAAAAAAGGTTTCAGAAAACCGTTGAATGAAAGGACCTAATTAGATAAAAGAAACTATAATAATAGACTGTAATGTTGTATAACCTTCCTTCCTAGAATTCTTTTTTTTCATTTCTTAAAATATAACATTAAAGAACATGATATTTTTGTGAGATTATCTTTGCAAACTGGTTTATGGTTCTCTAATTTGTCTTCTTTAGAAAAATCTTGTAGAGGTTAAAGATTAGTTTATTTAATGAATTCTTGCCTTACATTTTAATTAGCATTAGCGGTATCTCCGAAATCACACTGTTAATTTGTGTCTGTCATATTGATGCATGGATATGAGGTTGACTCGGGGAATAGGAATGATTTGTTTGAAGACCAGTCCAGCTTTTAGGAAATAAATATATGACTTTCCAAAGCTAGAAAACGTTTGAGGACATTTGTGCTCATTTGCAATATGACCATGGAATCACCAATGTTAGATCTGAGAAAGAGCATCCAGCTCAACCTCCTAATTTTCTAGATATGGACTCTGAGCCCAGAGAAGTTGAATGACTTCAAAGTAATTCAGATAACAAAAGCAAAATTCTAGATCTTACTATTTCTAAAACTACACTACACAACCAAATATTTTTATGTAACATTGGGATTAAATTTAAGCCCATAAAAAGTCCATTTACTGATTGAAATCCCAGCATCAATCATTTCTAACTTTTGTTTTTATATTATCAGCCTCAGTCCTTTGAGATTTCCATATTTTTCATGTTTCCTTAATGGGAAACTTAAATATTTTTGTTTCCAATTGAATATCACACTGAAAGTACTTACATTCATTCGTACTTTGTGTCCAATCAGTGTTTAATAGTTTGGAGGAGGGGGTGTGTGTCTACAAACCATCCAATTTCCTTTTAAATGATAAACTGGTGGCAAAACTATTGATTTTCTATTTGGTACAGCCCATGAAAAGTTTACTTCGGGACTCTAAATGCGTTTCTTAACACGAAATGCTACTTCTTTCAAGTTTTTTATAATAGTAGGAGTGCACTCTGGGCAGCCTCATGTCTGCTGTGTGTGGCATATACTCACTGTGAGCATTTGCTAACTGACAATCATTATAATAAGAATTCTTATTACAGTCCATTCTTTTAGTTTTCTTTTATTAATCCCACCACTCTTCTACCAACTAGCTGAAGAAGCTGGTCACATGGAAAACATTTTATTTTTATAGACTTTAAAAGACTGGTTTCAGTTAATCATGTAATACAACATAATTGTGGAATCTGAAAATTGGAAAGAACACTGGAAAGCAACCTCTCGTGTCTACTCTGGAAAAATATTTTAAATAAAAGTAAAGAAGTCTTCAACAAGTTTTCAACAACTAAGGTAGGTCATAGCCATTAAAATCCTTTCTTTTACATCTGGTCCAATTCCTTATTATCGCACTAGAAGCTCATGACTTATATTTATGTCTCCTGTGGAAAGATGAATGCTGTGAGTGGTATAAATAGAAAAAGAATCTGTTTTCTTTTTATTTTCTTTTTTTTTTCTAACATATTTTATTGATTTTTTACAGAGAGGAAGAGAGAGGGATAGAGAGTTAGAAACATCGATGAGAGAGAATCATCAATCAGCTGCCTCTTGCACACCCCCTACTGGGGATGTGCCTGCAAACAGGTACATGCCCTTGCCCGGAATCAAACCCGGGACCTTTCAGTCCGCAGGCTGACGCTCTATCCACTGAGCCAAACCGGTCCCGGCAAAGAATCTGTTTTCTTAAGATCTTTTAATAACTACCTATATTCTCTTGAACGATATTTTATTTTTTTTGCTTCTCCTGCAATTTCTAATAGAAGGAATTATGATGAAATGTGAAAGGAAGTGAATGATATCGGAATTCATTGAAGTCAATCTTGGGAACGATTTGCCTTGCAGGACAAATAAGGAAACAAAGTTCCCAGGCAAGCCGAAGGTCAGTCTGTGAGTTTTTATTTGCCACTGACCATCAGACTAGAGGGACTATCATTTGGGCTGGGGGATGGGAAGAGTAGGGGAGAGGGACTAAAAACTAGGCTTCCAAAGAGATGCTCCTGAATTCAGATAGAGACATAATCTGTTGCCTGGCTACATTCATAACCTTTATAGCATTTCTTTACCAAGTAAGAATTTAGATGATACTGATTCTGAGCTGGAAGCCTTGAGCTGGAGTCTCCTTTGTCACTAAGCAAACTTCCTTGAGAAATAACCTTCTTGATTCTACATGCCTGAGAACAGCACATTTGAAGATGGGAGAACCAAAAGAAATACCCAAGTCAGAGAGCTGCAAGCCATTCAGGCAAAATCTGGTTGGAGAGGAAAGCAGTTCCCACGATCAGGGAGCTTCCCCAGCCAGCCTGTAGGTGGGTGTGTTTAACAGAAGGAAGCAATGGAAACCTGCCTGTCAGCCAGCCTTTAGAGCTAATTAGCTCAGCACACAACAAAGATAAGTGAGCCTGGGAGGAGGGCCCCCTGAGGGGTCTTTAGAGTCTGGGAAATGTCTGATTGGCAGATGTTAAAAGGGATTCTTTGGTAATCCTGTGCATCAATGAGCTGCACAAATTCAGTCCAGGACTGCAAGAATCCAGGCATGAGGACACAGTGCAGCAGGCTCACACAGGCAGACCCAAGATGGACAGAACCTTGGAATCCCTGAGACACATCATTGCCCAAGTCCTGCCTCACAGAGACCCAGCTCTAGTCTTCAAAGACTGTAAGTACTGAAGGGGGAAAAGTTTTTTTACTTTTTTTTTTTTTTTTTTAGAAAACAGTCCTAAACATCTAGTCACATCCTATTTAAATGTGATTTCTTCTAAATCTCTGTAGTCGTGCGCTGTGGTCTAGTGATGTTTAACTTGTTTCTGACTTCAGTCAGAAGAATGATTTCATTTCATTTCACTACGGGGTATTAGTTGCCGGGCTGTTTGGTCAGTGATACATCTTGCTAACGGCTTAGAAGTCTCTCCTAAAATCTAAGGCTCGCCTAAGACTTAATGAACTTTTCCAGATGCTTTTGTAAAATAAAGCAGACTGCTACTAAGGTTAAAATTAAAAATAACTTGCCTATGATAATAAAACATATACTTGCTAATCTGTTTAATCTTTAATAACATACATTAGTTATGTTAAACCAAGTATTGTGCTTGTCTGGAATTTTTGTTGTTGATGCAAACAAAAGTTAATAAATCACCACTGAGCTCTTAAATTTTGATAACAAATTATAACACATTAGTTACAAGGACAATGAAATTAGATGTCTTCCCACCTCTGCAACACCCTTCCCTTCCAAAAAAAAAAAAAAAAATCTAAACAGCTATGGCAAAGTTATTTAAAAATCTTCTTTTAATGATTATGAAAAATAATTCAATCAAGCTTTCCAAATCTGGCAGTACTACTAAACCATTTGTCATGTAACTTTGTTTCTGGAACCAATTTGATTTCCTGCTGCTGCAAAACAGACTATCTTCCCCCTGTATCTTATCTACAGTAGGTTTCATATTACAAAGAGCTTCTGAAATAGAACTTTGCTATGGAACTGCCCAAAAGGTAAAATGCATATGGATTTTTTTTTTTTCTTCAATAGGTTACAGCTTTCTTCTTTGTAAATCTTGCTATGTTTGTCTCCATCAAAACTTCAATGGTTTGGATTTTAACTTTCTGATTGCTGAATAATGTTAGTTTCCAGATGTCCTTTTAGTTTATATTTCTCATATGTGATGGAGAAAAAGAAATGTTAGGCCATTTTATTCTATACATTTTTCTTCTCAGAAATTAAATTATAATTTTCCCTTTAAGACATAAGAGATCTTTCTTTCTTTCTTCCTCTCTTTCTCCTTATATTGTATTCAAACATGTGTCAATAGCTATGTTAGGACTAATAAAATCACTCCCTACCCCAGTCTAGCCTGGAGTCTATTCAGATTTAGTATGTTTAAGTGACAAGAGAAGGAAAGAATGTGTGTCTCATACAATAGCACTGAATTAACCAGTGAAGGATAAAGGGTTCTTGACCAGCCCAGAGTTTTGGATAAATTGTGTAAGACCAGGGGGTCTTATGCTGAGGGTTTGGAGAGTGGAAGCAGTAAAAAGAAATACAGGGGAGCCAAAACTGGTTTGGCCCAGTGGTAGAGCGTCGGTCTGTGGACTGAAAGGTCCCAGGTTCAATTCTGGTCAAGGGCATGTACCTTGGTTGAGGGCACATCCCCAGTAGGGGGGGGGGGGAAGTGTGTGTGTGTGTGCAAGAGGCAGCTGGTCGATGTTTCTCTCTCATCGACATTTCTAGCTTTCTATCTCTCTCCCTTCCTCTCTTTAAAAAATCAATAAAATATATATATTTTTAAAAGAAATACAGGGGAAATTTTTCATTGAGCTCGTTGTGACTTTAAGAAGTTTAATCTGAAATCATGGCTCACTTCTTAAGATGAATTAACCTCCAAAATTGTTTACAGTTTAGCATAGAAAATAAAACAGAAGAAGGGTTAAAATAAAGTGTACACTATGTTCTTTCTGTCATCTAGGCCTTTGCAGGAACTCTTTTATATGGAAAGACAAAGGAATGTCCTATTGTATGTATTTCATTCACTAACATAGGACGGAAATTTGATCAGATAGCATTGCCTGCTGACCCTAGAATGGGCTGCTCCTCTGCAACTGCCTGCATTGCTTAAAAGGTGTGGATATCACTGCCCACCCTCTCCCTCAGGTGTTTCTAATCTGAAAAATGACCAAAGGAAAGGGAGCCAAGTGGCAGATTTCTGCACCAGGGGTTTTTATAACATCAAAACATCTAGCCACTCACCATGCTCCTGGCATAAATGGGAACAGGCTCACTACTTCCTGAGGCAGGACATCAAAAGTCCGCCTGGGCCTTTGCCATGCCTTGGCAGCCTCCCGTGTGGGTGCCAGAGTTTAGCACACAGACTCACTTTCCTTGGCACACCTGTAAGTCGCTGCCACCACCCTCCTGTTTTACGCGCAGCCTATAGGAAGCGGCCACCGGCCTTGAATGGCAGGTTCTGAGCAGCCTCTTCTCCTGGTCCCTCCTGCCTCCTCTCCCCCCACCCTGGCCCAGGCTCTTCCTTGAAGAAAAAAAAAGGCTAAGCACTTGCACATCACTGCCAATTGCTTAAGAAAAATCGTTACCTTACTTTCCTGCAACATGAAAAGCCAATCTAAGAATTTTAAAAGCCCAGCACAGTCGAACAAAGGAGCATAATAAAAACTACACACACACACTATAAAAGTGTTTTTCTAAATTTCTTTTCTATAAATGCCAAGGCAGTTTTTTCTCTTTAGTCTTTAGAAAGACAGCATAGAGGGGATATAAATGATCACTTTATTAATTTCTTGTCCTCAGTTGGCTTGTGATTTCATAAAATAAAAAAAATAAAAAAAATAAAAAAATAAAAAAAACCCAAGCAATAGTAAATTGAATTTTCTCTGCACATGGGTGAGGAAAAGCACCCAGAGTTTCTGGTCTGAGACCAGTGCCCATGGGGATAGTTACAGTCATTTAAATAAATAGAATTTGAATGCATTGCTCAGCCAAGGAGGCCTTCCAAGTGGCATTTTGCAATTCATTAAGTCCCTCATTTGTTTGAGGCAAGGTGTTCATCTGGCTGCTGCTGTAACTTGTTTTTCTTCCCTTTATGTAGTTTATTCATTAACATAGAACAATATTTTTTTTCTCTTTTCCCTATTTTACATCTCAAATGCAAAATAATGGAAAGACCTTTTTCAAAGGTGGGCTCTCAATTTGAAGATTGCCCATGTAAGCTGTCTCTGTTCCCCACTACCTGAGTGTCCCTGTTGCGTAACAAGAGGCCCTGGGAATGGCCGCACCTCCAGACAGAATCCTTGCAGACATACCAGGGCATATCTCCCTGTTGTCTTGCACCTGTGGCTTTCTGCAACATCTCAATTCCTTTCGTGCCATATGTCACAACCAAAGGTGAGCTATCCTAAACACAGCCCCTGTCAGGTCTTTTCACAGAGTGTGTGTGAGTGTTCTATTTGTTTGTCACTGACAGTTCCTCACATGCTTTCTCAAAGGAAATCACCACATGATTTTCAAAGTGGCTGCACTGTCAGATCCTACTGAGTGTTAACTCTTCAAATTACCAGAACACAACATGCCTATCTGCCATCTTTGGGACCGTTCTTCAATGCTAGGATGCCAAGAACTCATGACAGACACGATACTAGGAAGATGAATCCTTCACAGTAGTGCATACTACTGTTATCGGTGAGGGAACTGAGGCTCATGAAGGTTAAGGTGACTTGCCCAAGGTCACACAGCCAGTAAGTGATAGAGCCAGAATTCATATTCTCTCTTCCAACTCCTCACTTTTAGTCACTGCCAGACATTGCCTCTTAGAGGTGTTAAATGACCACGTCATGGTAATATCTCCTAGGAAAACAGGAGGGATTGAAATGAACTCTTCTGGAAGTGTAGAGTGTACCCACTTAGTAGGCACATCTGAGCAGTATGACAGAGAGTGAAAGGGGAAGGGCATTTTTGAGGAGCAAGAACAGCTTGTCCAAAGGCAGATCAGGCAATTTGAAAACCATGCACTGGGGGAGGGGGAGGCGAGGCTGAGGCAGGTGGAGTCACCCTGGCGTGCAGGCAGTCGGGAGCCACTGGAGTTAATAGTGATCCTAGATTAGTTCTGGAAGTTTATGGCTTTCTGTTGCAGTGGGGGAAAGATTATATTGACATCTGTAGGAGGTACACTTCCTGATACTAAGTTGGGAGACAGTTACAGCTTTTTCACAGCAAGAATTATTATTTTACCCATTCAGGCAAGATACAAGATTTGTAAATGTTAAACATGCCTGTAGAGAGAAACTGCATCCACTGAAGGCCAAAATCAGGCAAACTTTCTCTGGCAGATTGTTAAAAAGCTATCTGAGTTGTCACTGAAGCCATGAGAACGTGTTGTTTCCAGTATTGATTTATAAAATGACACGTAAGATTTCACCAGCATGTTTCCCCAAATTGTCTAATGGAAAAAAATAAGATGGGCCCTTTAATAAACATTGCACAATTAGAAGGAAATATCTCACATATTTGAGGTGCATTAACTCTTCCATTTGGGGAAACATTTTTCTGCCTAAATGGTCTTATTTACTTCAAAAAGTATTTTTCCCCCCCTTTGGAAAAATTAGACCAGACTATAGAGCTATTAAAAACCTCTTAGTAATCATGAGTCTGGCTGTGTGCAATGTGAAAGAGCAAGATCCTCAAGAGTCAAGTATTTTCTCCATTTTATGCTTTTGAGTGTAGTTATCTAAAATCTATAAATTTAATGGCACATGTATGTGTTTTTTTTGTTTTTGTTTTTGTTTTGTTTTTTTGCATTTCACAGAAAAGAATGGAGTAGGAGTAAGGGATGAAGGTGCTTGTGCACTGAATTCACCCTGTAAAGTGTGTCTGGAAGAAGATGATTAAAAGAACCTTCACTGCTCCCTAGCTCATTTTGGAAAAATGATTACATCTTAATGACAATAATTTGAACTGTGGACATCTGGTGTACTGATGCCAATGTTACTTTAAAAATTCATGCTGAGCCAAGACTGGTTTGGCTCAGTGGATAGAGCATTGGCCTGCGGACTGAAAGGTCCCGGGTTCGATTCTGGTCAAGGGCATATGCCTCGGTTGCAGGCACATCCCCCGTAGGGGGTGTGCAAGAGGCAGCTGTTCAATGACTCTCT